GGATTTTTGTCAATTTTCTTTGACTTTTTAAGTGAAAATAGGTCGATGTGTACATGGATAAAGTCATGAGTGTGCGCAATGCCATTTTTGTGCAATTCTGGGTTGTTCTTTTTTAAGTGAAAATGGATCGACGTGTACATGGATACCGTGTATATGCAATTCTTAAAAACGCGGCAAGCAGTGGACGATTCTACACTTTCTCCCAATTTCGCACCTAATCTTCGTCATGATTAAGCACTTTTGTTCCATGAAAGGTTCTAGCATAAGCGTAATTCGGCTAGCAGATTGTTGGAAAAAGTGTAGAGTAAAAAAAAAAGAAAAAAAAAATGCCTTTACTTCGTGAAAACAAAATGGCGTCAAAAAAAAAAAAAAAAAACTAGCAGGTTGCTATAGCAGAGTTGGTCGCCAAGTTACCATAATGTAAAGATTTACCACACTTTCTTTTCTTCCGCAGCTAAATGTAACATTAAATAGAACAAATTCGATTGTTTGCAGCTGAAGAAGGCAGTGCTGTTCATTCGCTGAAAGCGCTTCTGTTTAAATGCAATTTACCTCAATTAACATTGTTTTCCTTGCATTCTGTTAGATTTGGTTATTATTCGTTTTTGCAACAAGATAAAGCTAGAGCTAGTTTTGCAACAGTTAAAAGCAAGAGTTACGCATGTGCTATTGGCATAGCAGGCTTTTAACTGTTGCTCTAGCATTTCGTAATTAAAAATCCGATCTATTTTTTTAAAGCATTGTACGAATTTTAAAAGGACAGAGTTTGTATGATGATGCGTTTTAAGTTGAAATGTGCTATAGTGTAAACTGTTGTGACGACATATAATTCGTATTCGCGAAAATCTAAAGTTGAACTTCTCAATTTAGGTTACGGTTACGTAAAAAACTGCGACTGCAGAATTATTGTGAACGCTTTCAAATTTATTAAAAACCAAATAAGCAGAGTTTTATTATTTTCAGCAGTTATCGGTTCAGATGCAGATTACTTCCCCCTCAGTGTTAATAAATCACATGTGAGAACGTGGCAGAGGTGATTAAAACAATAAATATTTATTATTAAAGTGTAATACCTTTATATCTTGGAGGGGTAAGTCTATAGAAATAATTTGAAACTTCTGTATTTTGGTTAGCCACTAAACGTCTTGTTCTTAAAGTCGATAAAGTTGCTATCTTTATTTCTTAAAACTTAATTAATACTATTAATTAAATTCATTAAATTGATTAAACTCTCTTTTGTTTTATTTCTTATTTATTTTTACAATTTTCTGTCTAAACGAAATGATTTCTTCTTTGTCTGGAAATTTATTAACGGAATTCAAATTGTCTTTTATGTGTTTAATTATGTGTGTTTATGTTTTTATAAGCTTAAAATGCCTCTGTGATTTTTCATACTTGAACATATTTTATGTTTGGGATATACTAGATATTGTAAGTTTGTACATTGTGTCGTATGTGAAGTAAGTATTATTCAGAAAAAACGAAATTGAAAAATTATACTTGTGTAAGGTAATATATCTCAGGACTTTTTAAACTAATCTGCAGTTTATTTCCCAAGTGTAATTTATTTGATTTTTAATAAACCTCCTGAAAAATGCTGAAAACATATGGCGAAACCACTGACAGATAAAATTTTGCCAGTCAATAAAAAATAAATTTATATTAAGTATTGCAGGATAAAAACACTGCAGTAGCAACCGAAAACAATCTTGTTTTAAGTCTGATGTAAAAAAATGTACGTTAAATACGGCTTTTGTGAAAAGCCTTAATTAATATTACAAGCCAACTGCAAGGAAATACAATGTTAACTGACGCAGATATTATTTGAGCAGAAGCACTTTCAGCGATTGAACAGTATCGCCTTCTTTCTCTGCAATTGAAAGATTAATGGAAATAAATTCATTCAGTTACAGTGGAGGAAGTCGGTGGTGTTCAATTATTTGAAAACGCTTCTACTTAAGTGCAATCTAACTTAATTAACGTTGTTTTCCTTTCTTCTCAGTTTTATTTGGCGAACCATTATTTCCGTGCAGGCCAGATGTTTAGCTATTCTAGTGTTTCTAAAGGTCTATATTCTATACAGGCGTTTAGCTATTCTAGCCTTTCTAAAGGTCTATATTCTGTATAGGCGTTTAGCTATTCTAGTCTTTCTAAAGGTCTATATATAGGCGTTTAGCTATTCTAGTCTTTCTAAAGGTCTATATTCTATATATGCGTTTAGCTATTCTAGTCTTTCTAAAGGTCTATATTCTGTATAGGCGTTTAGCTATTCTAGTCTTTTTAAAGGTCTATATTCTATATCGGCGTTTAGCTATTCTAGTATTTCTTTTAGCTGTTCTAGTCTTTTTCTATAATTTTTTTTAAAATACAAATCTATAGTCTAATTCCGATCTTTATGACAGTTTTGACCTTCAAAACAAGAGAAGGGTCAATGTCTAGATTAGATTTCTCAAAAACCAGCCCATGTGATCCCTACTCTTTATATGTTATATACTTTATATATTTTATACTTTATATATGTTACGGTGAAACACCGAAATCTGGAGAATATTGACTTTCACCAGTGAATGTCAACATTCACATAGTCGCTTGGTGTATGTCCGAAATATTTTCCAAATATTCTTATTTCTGACTTACACCGGTGAATGTCGACATTCACTATGTACTAATAGTAAATGTTGAACATATAAGAATATTATATTTCCTTCTCCGTAATTCATTCGCGAAAAAACGCACTTGAGACTCAGAATAAGAACTTCAGAATATAAGAACTTGAAATACACAGTACATTCAAAATGAGAAAGGAAAATAATAGAAGTTATAAACTTACCAAATTATGTGATTCAAATCTTATTTATTGAAACAACTTAAACTATTATGACACTTTGAATTGCACAAGAGGCCCTTGCTTTTACAACTGCATTTATTTGTGGAACACTTCCTTTTGGAATGGCAGCGTGTACACATTCTCCTCTCTTTTCGACCTACACCAGAGCATATCTGTGATTGTCGACATACACCGGTGAGGGTCCGAATGTACAAGAATGTAAAGAAATATTCGATCTTTCACCGACGTATTTGGTGAATGTTGACATTCTCCGGTGAAATTCGATATTCTCCAATTTCGGTCTTTCACGGTAACATATACATATTCATTTTACGCTAATTTAACGAACTTCTGATTAAAAACTCAGAAATTTAAAAGCTTTCGCGTTGTCACTCTGCAAAAAGTAAGAGCAAGTAAGTTTAATTAGAAAATTCGGCGATATAAAAGAATTGTGTTGCCACTTGGGAAAACACAATTATATTACTATAGCTCGAAATTAATAAACAAACTCGGCTATTTAAGAGAAATGTGGTGCCACTGCCAAAATTTAAATATTTGAAAGTTTTATCGTTCAGTAAAGCGTAAAATATTTAATTTCTCACGTATTAACCTGCGTGTTATTTCCTCACACCCTTTTTAGTCCAAAGGGATTTGAGTCCCGAAGGACTATTACTTCCGTTTTGACATTTTGCGTCGGACTCTTATAAATGTCGGTTCACTTTTCAGACTGTTGCCACCAAATGTTAGAGTCCTGCATTATATTTGAAGAAATTGAATAAATAAAAATCTGCATAAATGTATGTCTATTTATCGCACTGTGATAAAACAACGGTACCTATAGCCATTCAATTTTGAAAGACGTAATCCTACTGCGAATATGGGCATCTGAAATCCCAAATTTGAAATTTGGAATTTACTTTATTATCGATTTTATATTTTGTAAAACTTTAACGAATTTTGGAGTAACAAACTCTACGATTTAAAAGCGAGCAATGGAAACACTCTACGAGGGGTACTGTATTTTTATCTCCAGCGCGTTGAACTGTGTATCGGAAATTCTAAAGATATGCTCATTTTAAAGTTATTTTGTGATATTGCTATTAAACTAAACTAAATTTTATGGTTTAATTAAAGAACATGATATTTAATAAATAAAGGTAACTCACCAAACGTTAAAAAAACGCCCCTTTGGACGTAATTTAAAATCTGAAACCTTTCAGATTTTTTTATCTTTTATAATTATTATAATATTAGTAATGCTTTGGGGATATAAGTCTTATGCAATTGGCAAATTTTTTTTTTTTGAAAGTGATTTTGATATAGTCGTCATAAAGCACTACTTTCGCTATGAAATTAATTATGCCAAAAAACAAAAAAATGATTGCTCGATCTACACCTCAATCACTAAAGCAAAAAAGCAGCACGAGCTTGAGAAATAAACGAGCAACAGGAAGCAAAACTGGAAAATGTTCAAGTATGCACTGCTTAAGCCCGTTTGTCTGAAACAGACGAGCAACGGGAAACAAGATTGGAAAACTTTCAAGTACGCACTGTGCACTATCCAGACGAAAACTGCACGCTGATTTAAATCTTGCTGTATTCCATTACGATTAACATTTACGTACATCTATATAGATATGTAATGAAATTTTGAAATGTTTCACAGAATCATATAATTTGTTATATATAATCAAAAGTTCAATACTCAGAATTAAAACCCAAACATTTTCTTTCCTTTAAGTAGCACTACAACGTATGCCGAGTAACAGTTGGGGTTTTATAGTTATAAGCAGCTGTGTGAACTATCTGGATTCAGGCAAAATAATTATGCGATGATAGTAATATAAGCTTATGCGATGATAGTAATATAAGCAGATGTGTGAACTATCTGGATTCAGGCAAAATAATTATGCGATGATAGTAATATAAGCAGCTGTGTGAACTATCTGGATTCAGGCAAAATAATTATGCGATGATAGTAATATGAGCAGCTGTGTGAACTATCTGGATTCAGGCAAAATAATTTTGCGATGATAGTTATATAAGCAGCTGTGTGAACTATCTGGATTCAGGCAAAATAATTTTGCGATGATAGTTATATAAGCAGCTGTGTGAACTATCTGGATTCAGGCAAAATTTGCCGAGATGAAAGGAAAGAGCAGTAAGATAACACAGAACACTGTACATTTATTTAAAAATCATTTACGATGTAAAGTACATTTATGTCTTAGGTCTTAGCAGGGTAACAGACATATAAGTAACATTTTTGAAAAGGTTGGTTGTCTTTCAATTCCATGCCAATCTCATGTTACATCGTCGATAAGTTCCGCTTCTTTTTATTTAATAACTCATATTTCTTAATGTTTTCTTATTCTTCTTTACAGTTAACTCTCCTGAAAACAAAATCCTAGAGTAAATACATTAAATATATTAAAATAAATTCATAACAGATTTAAATATAGAAAGTAAAAATCAAAAACATATCCTTTTAATAAATTTATAAAACAGTATGATTAGAATAATGTGAGTAATTTAATTAGAAAGAGTGAGATTATAAAATAAGCACTTTTTCTTTATATGTACAGATATATTTACATGTAAATAAAAAACAAGAACAGCCATTTTACAATTGAAACTTGCCAAAATGGGTTAAGAATTTTCATCTAGTGGTAGTAATAAAAGAGTTTGAATTAAATAAACTCTGGATATGGCATATAACATTATATATATATTTCCAAAGTGCAGCAAAACATTTATTGTAAATACCAATAAATACAACTAGACATGGTTAGATACACTCAATATCTTGGATTCGTCAATCACGCTTATCTTCTTCAACGCAGCCTTCCATGACTATAAAGTATTACTGCCATCTCCCAGTACTTCTGTGTTAAAGTGTATATTATTATAATGCATTGGTTTAAAATAGGTCCTTCAAGGTCTTAACGTCCCTTCCTTATTTACGATCATATAGTGCTTCGTCATCCCCGCACAGCACTCATTTCCTCCACATTAATTGAAAATATAGATAAAGTCAGTCTTCGTTTGTGCGCTTTTCATGAAGCTAAGCATGCTAAATTAAGTGGAGGAAAAAAAAATTAGCGACTCCAACCATCTTTCTCAGCTGTCGTTACCATGGTTAAAAGGTTAGACAGGTGATAAAAAAATGAAGAGCCTGTTCTAAAGTGATAGACTATAATGATAACGCGACAAGGAATATCTTGCCCAAAATACCCAAATAGAGGAAATGCGTTATTAAGATTGTTTGCGTCAGAGATCGTGTGAGTGAAAACTTGAACTTTCAGACAACGCAGTAAGAAAAGTCTGCTGTATTCGCTAGGTGATTGGGTTGGCGGCATTGGAAGTTTCTAATTTAATCTTCCGAAAATACTTCAACAGATGCTTTTTGGAGAGAAATTTGGAATCCTAAATTTTTACTCACACCCTATCCGACATTACAAGCTTTAAATATTTATTTCGTTAAAAAACCTCAAATGCTATAGAAGATACTCTAATACCGTGTCATTCCAAATGTAGCTGACAGATGGCAGCACTGCTTTGATTCTCATAAAGAAAAGCTTATTTTCTAAATCTAAGATACTGACTTACTTAATCTTGTTCAGTTATATCTTATATCTTTCTGTCTGAAAAGTCCAGACACATTTTTTCTGTGTCCTGCAAAGGAACTCATTTATATAAAAAACAATCTCATTTATATAAAGAACAATAATCAGTCAGTAGTATAGTGCTCGTTTTGTTCGATAATTGTTTACTTTCTTTTAATGAGCTTCGTAATTCCTCATTCATAAAAGAACATAGAACGAAAAGCATCTACGAAAAGTTTATCCAGGCCTCATCTGGATTGGATGTTATACCAAGAAAGAAATTTTGAAGAGAGCAAAACAAGTGAAAAACTGAGAGTACAAGATCTGAGGGTATAATATACGCGAGGTAACAGTTTTCATCCACACTCCAATAATTTTTTATCATGTATTCCCTCGTTATCTGAATGGAATGCAGTTCTTATACAATTAATGAGCTCTGGAAGTTTCTGGAAGAAGAATTCGTTAAAAATGTCCATTTGGCAATAAAACACATTCGAAATGATTTGTTGGCTAGTTGGTAGAAGCTTGGAAACAAACCACGCGCAAATTTGATCACCTGACAAAAATTATTGGAGCTAAGATGAAAAGTGTTCCAATGCTTATCATACTCAACTAATCTTGTGCCCTCAGAGTTTCACTTGTTTCGCTCTCTTCAAAATTTCTTTCGTGGTATATCCAATTCAGATGAGTCCGTAAATCAGCACTTAGTTTAGCTTTTCGCAAATAAAGTTGTGCTCTTTTGTGAATGCAGAATTACAAAATTTATTGAAAGAAACTTTAAAGTTATCGAACAAAGCGGGCAATATAAAATTGACTGATCCTTGATCTTAATAATGGACCTTTGAAGAACATAGAAAAAAAGTGTCATAACCTTTTAGACAACCTAACATTTATTTCTTTGTATTTCGTTTTTGGTCCTGATGGTAGGTTGTAACTGTTTATTGGCACTGGCCCCTACTAAGGCCGGAAGTTGCGGCCTCTTTATTATGCAGGCAGCTTAATGGGTGGGCCAACATTGCCAACTATGAAGGGACGGACATATTACATCCATACCTTCTCCGGGATTCGAATCTGGGGCTTTCGAGACAGCAAAGTCACTAACCACTTTTCCGTGTGGGCGGCTTTATTTCTCTCTATAAAAGGTATGTTTTTGGAAAGGAATAGCATTAAATAGACCAATTTATAAATAAAAAAATAATGAGCATGGTTGCATTTTTAATTCCAAAAAAGAAATTTGTGCACTAGAAATTTTGTTCTAATAATGCTAATGTAAACCAATAGGATAATTTTTTAAAATTTCAATATTCAATTTAAAATTATTTTGCAAAATTATACCTTGTTTTATAAAGTTATATTTTTGCGGAGAGCTAATTTTTATTGTTGAATTAAGAGACATGATATATAACAAATTATAATAGAAGGAATTAAGACAGAAAGTAAAAATTTTGCTTCTTTCATCTCTTTTAAATTTTGAATGGTAATATCTGAGTACATTTGAATAGTATAAAAAATGCTGTAGAAGGAAATTTGTACAAGGAAAATTTTGTACAAGAAAAATTGTACAAGGAAAGTTAGGTAACATTCCTTTCATATAAGATTATTACAAATGGTTCATCTGATTTGAAATCGTTATATTTCGAAATATATTGCAAATATAAGAATGAGAGCAACGGCAAATGAAATAAAATATCCCAAATCTTAATCACAGCTTTGTGAATAAATTTTCAATATATACTACTCTTCTTACGAGTCAACAACATATGAATAAGCAGTACTGCAGTATATCAGCATGCGTTGTAACTTTCTCAGCCAATGATTACCAAAGAGCTGTCTTAGAGTTCCTGTAGTGTTCCTGGCACGTAAATACGCAGGTGACACACGTAATGCTGGCACGTGACACACGTAAATATTTCTCCCAATATTCTCCCTTCCCAAAAACATGAGGCGTAATGTTAGGGGATATTAATGGCTATATGGGCAATGTAAGATCTTATTATTTATATATCTACTTATACATCACTGTGCGAACAAGACAGAGCGCTTTATCTTTATGTAATATGCAAAATATTTAAACCTCCTTCATTCGAGAAAATAATGGCAATTGCAACATTACATTGTACACTTAAAATGTATGTTTAACTCTAAATACTTGCCGGCCGGTAATCTGACGTTATGTCGGTTTCTTGATGTTACGTCACAAGCAGTGACGTCATAAGGCTTCCTCGTATAATAGGGTTACAAAGAAGCAGCGAGAAAGAATTACTGCATTTTATTTATGTAATTTGGAATTTGATTAACTGCTCTCATGTATTACTGTTATTAGGTTTGTTATGAATATCATTCCAAGCAGAAGATACAGTGGATGGACAAAAATATGGAAACACCTTGTGAAATGCATGTTTGAAAAGAAAGATTGATTTTAATGAAATATGTAGGTGGCGCTGGCGTTTTTGACTACTGACGCCACCTATACAACTTCGTAAATGTGCTAGACAGTTCAGTTGTTGTCGGAGTACTGTTATGTGAGGTTGTAATTGCATTATGTCAGAGTTAACAGACTTCGAACGTGTTCAAATTGTTGGAGCACGTATGGTAGGTGCTTCCGTAAGCAAGGTAGCCGAGGTGTTTAGTGTTTCAAGAGGTACTGTATCGAAGATTTATTCCGCATATTTGAAAAGCGGAAACATCATCTGCTAAATCACAGCGCGGACGAAAGTGTGTCCTGAGTGATCGCGACAGACGATCATTATGGGCAATTGTGACGAAAAATAAGAAGACCACAGCTGCAAAAGTTACTGCTGAAATGAATGTTGTGTTACCGAACCCTGTGAGTACCAAAACAGTTAGAAGGGAGCTTCATAAACAGGGAATTGCTGGCCGTGCTGCAATTCAGAATCCACTGATCAGTGATTCTAATGCCCGTAACAGGAAAAGGTGGTGTTTAAGTCATAAAGCCTGGACTATAGAGCAGTGGAAGCGAGTAATATGGTCTGACGAGTCTTTTTTCACATTGTTTCCCACTTCTGGAGTTTACGTCTGGAGAACGCCATCTCAAGCCTATAATACAGACTGCTTGTTGCCAAGAGTGAAACATGGCGGGGGTTCTGTTATGGTTTGGGCAGCCATATCGTGGTTCTCTGCTAGCCCCATGATAACTGTGTCAGGGCACATGACTGCCAAGACTTATGTGAACATTTTGGCCGATCAAGTTCATCCCATGGTACAAACTTTGTTCCCCGATGGTGATGGTGTCTTCCAAGACGACAAAGCCCCTGTTCGCACAGCTCACATTGTCCAGGACTGGTTTTCTGAGCACGAGGATGAGTTGTCCCATCTCCCCTGGCCACCACAGTCACCAGACCTGAATATTATCGAACCTATGTGGTCTACATTGGAACGGAAAGTGCGTTCTCGTTATCCACCGCCAACATCGTTATCTGAACTTGCCACCGTTTTGCAGGAAGAATGGTATAATATTCCCTTGGCAAACACACAGGAACTGTATTTATCCATTCCGAGAAGACTGCAAGCTGTTTTGGATGCCAACGGGTTTCCTACACCATATTAAGCAAAGAAACATGTTTTTTTAAAGGTGTTTCCATATTTTTGTCCAATCCCTGTATGTCTTGAAACTGTCACGTGGACTTTAAGGTAAATTGTAATTATAAGCTTGTTAATAGATTTATGAACTCTTATTTAAGATTACATGATTAAAGACTTGTACTGTGCACTTTATCAAATACTTTAAAAGCTTTATTTTCCTGTAAAAAGTCTCATTTTAGGATTTTACTAGAATTCTTCGCAACCAACAAAGAGAGCACACGTGACCCAAATGGTTACACCCCTCTTCTTACCTGCTGGTCTACCCTCCGGGACACATCCTCAACATGCCACTATTTGAAGCGTCCAAATGGCACACTAATTTAGAAAGCCAGAATATAGCTTACAAAACAGCAAGCTAATTGTGGCTTATTAGCAAACTAGGAACTAGGAGCTAGTGAGGAAAAAGGTGGCGACAGACTTGCAGTGAAGGAGGACAGTGAAAAAGAGGCCACCAAAATTCCCAGTAGTTTGGAACGTTGGAGGGAACTGCACATCTGGTGTTGGGAGGTGTTTGTAATAAGGAATTTCAAAGCCGAGGAAGAGATCCGGTGTGACCTGGAACATACTAGTTGACAATAAAATTATTGTAGTTGATCTCCATATGATGGCTAAATTTCATTTTCAAACCACCTCATGCAACAAAACGACGCATGAAATCAAAAGATTTGTACATTCCTCTATATTTGACGCCAAAGGAAGATATTGTTACGTTATTTTATTCCTTCACGTTCGTACGGGGTTCGTAGATTTGAAGGTGAAGACGACACTTGATGAAGTATCGAAACACACTTTATTTAGCCATATTAATCAGGACAGCTACAAAATCACGTTTTACAGTCGTCGAAGAACTACTATAAACACGTTGACACAATCAGCTACACAGCCTTCACACTATCAGGCTCTAACGGTCGAGACAGCTTCACTGCAAAGCACCAGAGTACAGCTCCCGACTCTGTTCTGTCGTTCTCGGAACTCCACGTACTCTTGAGACTCTCCACGCTACAACTCGCGATGCACTCGACATACACAAGAGTACAGCTCTCGACTCAGCACACTCTAAGACAAAACTCGACGATACACTAAAAGACTCTCTCGATGCACTCGGCGACCAACTCGGCGCTAGACTTCAAGACACACTTGACTACCAGTTCGCTAGACGAGGTACACTAACTGACTGCGAACCAGCAGGGTTTATGTAGCTTTCGGCTTGTATTCGAGAAATTTTGGACTAAACCGGTAAGAATTCGTTCCGGAAGGTTCTCCAAATTTGTTGCCAAACGGGCGATTTCTCGCCAAATGTGGCAATTAACCTTGTCGTTTTATGGCAAACCTAAACTTGCTTTTCGGGGAAGCTATCTCACCGCGCCTGTACATTCCGTAAAACTAATAAATGTAATATAATAACCTTGTTTTAGAATAAATTTTTTTAAGCTTATATCATTATTTTTATTCCAAAGGGTATATAGGTAACATAGTACAAATGTTCTTCATACCTATGCTTGTTTTATAATTAGGTCTCAGGTCATATTCATATACGACCCAGAGGTCTTTACCAGTCTGTTTTGTTCTCTTGGATTTCTAAATGAAAAAATCGAAATCCAGAAATTTGGAATACATGTACATAGCCGTGCTGCATCTTAAATGTTGCGTTGTATCGAATTTTGTGGCAGTATAGAAATTATGAGCAATATATTGGCAAATCTTTGAAGCTCTACGACAGTATCGTCCATCTGTTGTGAAATCTCGGCGAGGTCTGGATATCGTAATGTTAAGCATGCAATAAAAGTAGTGGGCAATGCTTTGATGCGACTGTTCGTTCTTCGTTCTTTCGAACAATTGGGGATTTGATTACGGTGCACATACGTAACAGAAAATCAAAGTCAGTACCCTCTTTGACGTGTGCAAAGTCTTTATCCTGCTTAGCCAGGAGTAAATGAAATACGAATTAAAAGAGAAAATAAAATATATACATTAATACACTGATCACTGACCAATATATACACCAATATATACACTGATCACCAATTTTCATTATGGTGTATCGTTCGTGGTCTCTTAAAACGGTGGTTTCCCAAGTAGTCATATTTTCCGAAGTTCTTCACAGTTTCATTATCATGTTTGTCGCACTGGTTACAGTATTATGATGCCAATTTCTGATTTCAAATTATCAGAAACTTCATAAGTCTTGCGATTCAGTTTATATGCGTGGTGGTAAGAAGAAAAAAAAATAATACGTCCTTTATTGGTCTCTTTTTTGAAAGATGTGCTTTAAGCTGATAATATTGTTTTAATACACTTTTTCTTAATACATTTTAATTGCTTTAAACTGATAACATTCTTTGGTTTAACTAAACTGATCTCCATTCATATCATGTCATCAACGCATTAAAATTAGATTTCGCTTCCTGTAAAACTTATGAAAGAGTCTTGCGAGAGGGAAGTTTGTTTTATTAATATATGAAGTATTTCTCCCACTTTTCTAGCGTGCCTTCGTGGAGCGTTTCTACACGTTGGACCGGTATTCCAGAGGTCCGTGGTTGGATTCTCGGCGAAGGCGGTTGTTAATGTTTCACCTCTCCGGCTTTCCAAAATACCTAATGTCTCTATAGTGGCGCCCGAACTAAAAGGGTGTTGGATGAGGTTTCTCGACACCCAAGATTTGGCGATTGGGTACCCTGAAAACCCTATTTGCTCTTTAAAAAGGGGAGTATATAAGGTATTTTTCCCACTTTCCTAGCGTGCCTTCGTGGTGTAGTGGTTCTGCACGCTGGCCCGGTATTCCAGAGGTCCGTGGTTCGCTTCCCGGCGAAGGCGGTTGTTAATTTTTCACCTCTCCGGCTTCCAAAAATAACTCTACAATTAGATTAGTGTATTTTGAAGCTGTTTGAACTTACTTCATTCTAATCGTTCCATGTGATACATGTCTCCAATGAGTCTTTCAATAGGTATGTCTCCTATGGTGTCCTTGAAGAAAAGTTTCTCAACAGCTTGGGGGCTAACAGCTCGTAGACAAGGGATGAGTAGCAGCAACCTGCCGAACCGCGTAGGTTGTCGTGGGTATTTATGACGAACATAGTCACCAAGGATGCACTGGGCCTGGTCTTGCAGCATTTCAACCGGATGCACGTCACACAAACCAACGGTTTCTGTGGGTAAAAGAAAGGAATTTTATTGAAATTGAAAAGAAAATCTAAAATCGTAATACACCATTACAAAAGGATGTCAGTGCTGCTGACTGTAAGCATTAAAGTGTTTGCTTAGCTTAATAATATATGTCATTTATTTAGCATTGGTGTTCTCCTGTCTTACAATGGATTTAATTTTATTTAGAATAGCGGGGCACATGAAAAAAAAAAAAAAAAAAAAAAAAAAAAAAAAACTAGAAACACAATAAAAACAAGTCGTAAAGAAGAAAGATAAATACAATTCATAAAAAAAAATATCATTTCAAGAGATAACCGGAGATGACGATTACATTTTGCAACTGAACGGTTCTTCGCCCATTTTCACAGGCATGTATGACAGCCTCTTAATCGTGTTCTTCACCAATGCTGGATCTGACATGCTGCAACTGCAAGCAACGACCTTCGTCCCTGGCCGCCCCGTTCGCCGGATTTAACACCATGAGATTTCTTCCTTCGGGGTTTGTTCACAGACTGAATTTATGTACCTCAATGCTCATGTCCCTTAGTGCAGCTCTGGTCGAATAACGTATGCACCTCAGGCCATCACAGCGGACATGCTACAACGAGTACGGGAAGAATTTGATTACGGTGTAGACGTGTGTCGAGTGATGAAGGGTGCACATATTGAAGGATTGTGATTAACGCATCAAAACCTTGTGCAGTTGCCGCTGCTTAGTTGTAAGGTAAGTAGTAAATTCCATGCAGTAATACATCCATTTATTACTAGCCCAAAGGACGTTAGGCCAGAAGGGCTATTAATTTCATTTAAGCATTTTGCGTTGAAAATTTTAAATGTCGATTTGCTTTTCAAATTGCTGCCACCAAATATTATCGCCCTGTGTTATATTTAAAGAAATTAAATAATGAAGAATCTGCATCAATGTATGTATGTTTCTCGCATTGTGATAAAACAACGCTACCTAAAGCCATCCAATTTTAAATAACGTAATCTTCCACCGAATATGGGCATCTGAAACCCTAATTTAGACTTCGTTTTATTATAGATTTCATATTTTGTAACACTTTGACGAATTTTTAATTAACAAATTCAATGATTTCAAAGCAAGCAATGGCAAAAGTGTATGAAAAACATTTTTATCTCCGGAGCGGTGGGAATGTGTATCGGAAATTCTAAAGATATGCTGATTTAAAAATTATTTTGCGATATTGCTGTTGAATTGTATTTTAGAGTTTAAGAACATTTTAACGCACAAAAGGTTGAAAAAGGGTCCCTTTGAGCGTAATGTAAGCTCTGAAAGCTTTCACTTTTTAGTCCAAAGGAGCTTTGTCCCTGAAGGACTATTGTTTTCGTTTTGCGATTTTGCGTTGAATCACTATAAATGGCCGTTTCACTTTTCAAACTGTTGCCACCAAATGTTAGAGTCTTGCATTATATTTGAAGAAATTAAATAATGAGAAATCTGCATAAATGTATGTCTGTGCCTTGCATTGTTATAAAACAACTGTACGTAGAGCCATCGAATTTTGAACGACGTAATCCCCCTACGAATATGGCCATGTGGAAGACCAAATTTGAAATTTGGAATTTGTTTTATTATCGATTTCGTATTTTGTAAAACTTTAACGAATTTTTAAGTAACAAACTCAGCGATTTAAAAGCGAGCAATGGCAACACTCTACGGAGGAGGGGAACCTTTTCATCTCCAGCGGGCGCGGAACTGTGTATCGGAAATTCTAAAGATATGCTCATTTTAAAATTGTTTTGCGATATTGCTACTGAACTCAATTTTACGGTTTAAGTGCAAAGAACATGATATTTAATAAATAAAGGTAACACACAAAACGTTAAAAAAAACGCCCCTTTGGACGTAATTTAAAATCTTTCAGATTTTTTTTTTAATTGATGTATTATAACTGTATTATTTGAGCTTTATTTAAAAATTTTAAAACCACACCATTCATTTATAAACACCCTGTATTATTAGATGCAGGGAAATAAATCTAACCCGATGCTTTTTTCTGATAGATGCAGTGACTAGGTTATATTATAAAAGAACCATTTTTGGCAACGACGAACCGTTGTCTTTCTAGAAACACTGAATCTAGTAGCTTTCTGGAAGCTTGCAAAACTCTCTGGAAACACAAAATAAAAATCTAGTCATTGGAGTCAAAGCTATACCAAAACGATGAATAGAAAAAGCTTACGAAGCTTTCTGTTTGAGACGATGGTTGGCGTCTGAGCTATGTTATCTTGAATGCGATGTGGCAAGCTGTATTGGACATGAGCATTTGTCTGTAATCTAACGATATTTGACAGAAGTAGTCCTTTTACGAAGTTAAACCAAAGAACGTCTATGTAAAGAAGGAAAGGCTCCATAGACGTAATGTAAACCAGTTTGTCTTCTACGCCGCTAGAAAGAAAAGGGAAAATTCGCCAAGGGATTTGGCGACGGAGCCTGTTGGCGAGAAGTTCCTCCTCTGTGATGTATTAGACCTGGCCGAGATTTTCCTCCTCCGTCATGTGTACAGGAAATTAAGGTACACGGATTAAGATGAATAAGAAAATTAGGTGAAGTACCACTTTCACTGGATGTTGAACTTGCATTATCCATCTCGCAGTTTGATGTCTGATTTTATATCCGCCAATATGGAGGGGGAAAAATGGAGTCACACAGCTTTAAACGCTTGGTAAACGTGACCGTCGAACCTGTTCGAACTTCGACATCAGCTTCGAGCTTTGGCGCTTTTTGGCGACAGATATTTTACACATGCGCAGCTGTTTCCCTTTTTGTTCGAAGGGAGCCACGCCTGCTGCTGCGAAGCTTTCCTTTTTAACAATACATATTCTTTGGTTAAACTGTTAATCCGTCTTTCTCCTGTAGACAACCAGTTACGAGTTCTTAAAGCATGGATGTCTATTAAAAGGTACACTGTCTGTCTACGAGAAGAAGAGCTCCCGCCACAGTGTTTGGTGGATGACGGTTGCTATAGCAACAGGGCTAGTATATTTTAAATAGGGGCGAACCAAGGATTGCTTTATTGTTATTTTGTTTTTGGCGACTGTTGGCTGAGGGGAAAAGAGTTTATATCTTCAAGACACTCCTACAGAAAATGGGTCAAGACTCGTTTCTGCGGTAACAGACAGCTGCAGACTAACTGGCAAGAGCTTTTCTTATGATAGACAAACTGTAGGTATTTCTGAGTCTTACCAGGTCTGAAGAGGACAATAGCTTTCAAGCAGCTGCATTCAGTGGCATCTGGCGAGAGCTGACGAAACCTCCTCATAACCTCCTGGACGTAATGCATGTCCACCATATGTGCAGTCTCCTCATTCTTTTGTTCTGTAGACGCTCTGGTCAAGGCCAGAGGCGGCCTCGGCAAAGTACCCAGAAGGTCCAGAGTCACAGACCATTGTGCCATGTTCAGTAAGTATAAGTCCTTCCAAGATTCTTCGAGGAGTATCACCTAACATGAAAGAAACTTTAAATGAGTTCTAAACGCAGAGATTTTATCTATTGAAATATGGTATATTGGGTAGCTAAATGAAATTTATATTATTTAATAAAGTACGTATTATATAAAGATAACTAAAAGGTGTGTGACACTTTTTTTTTGAAAGCTGATATTTTTGTTTCACAAATAAGGGTTAACGTTACATTACTTCCATAAAATTTAAAACTGTTTTTTTTTTTTTTTTTTTTAAATATTTTTAGTTTTATGAATAAAGAAAAATTAAATCTTTTGTGAATAATTATCTAAATGCATGTACAAAGTTATTGCAGAAAGCAGTTAGTTAATTTTATCACATTAATCACACAAGACTCATTGCCTATTATTTTACAAAATATTCATATAAAATTAAGATGAATATATTTTTGATATTATATGTAATTTTTATTGCAGAGTTTTTTTCGTGTAATTTTCGATTTTCCTCATATTTTCCTAATTAGATACTCTCCCATTTCATAATTAAAATTATCTTACTAAATGAACATAGTTTGTTTCCTTTAATTAAATAATCTTTATTATACAAATGCTTGCTTCATTTGTTTTACCTGTAATAGGTACAGTAACATTATCTTAAAAAAGGTTTTATTTGATTCATATATTTGAAGGACATTTACGTACATCGTACACATTTATTTCATAATATTTAAAAATAATAACATTTATTTAATAATTTAGTTCACAATTTTAGTATTATAATTTATTAACGCAAATTGCACGTAAATGTAGATTGCAGTTTACCAGTCGTCTGCTATTACACTCACTTCTGCTAAAGCTTTTTTTTTTTTTTTTGTCTTTTAAGCTTTATTATTAAACATCATTTTCTTCGGTCTTACGCCATATACAGTTCAATAACAAAATTACAAAAAATTTAAAAGCAGCATAACAGTGTACGTTTAGAATTCCCGATGCAGGGTAAAATGTTCGCGTTTCATAGTTTATCATATCAATATTTAGTTTTCGTACTAAGATGGTTTAACAAAGCTTCTTTTTATCTTTTTATCCTTTTATTATTGGTATTTTGTGTGTTTACTTTATTTATTAAGTATCCAGTTCTTGTTGTTTACGTCCCATGAAATTCAATTCAACAGCAAAATCGCAAGGTAATTAAAAACAGCCTGTCTTGAGAATTTGCGATAGACAGACTCGCCCGCTGAAGGTAAAAATGGGCTAATCTTTGGAATATGGTAACAGGTAGTTTGGCGATATTTTGGTAAGGCGATAAAGGTTACTAGGTAGGACTTTAGCAATAATCTGAGAAGTACAGAGTCGAATCACAATTATTTGCCCTGTAAGAAACACATTTCTGTGCACGTGTAATGTTGACCACTACTTTCGGAAAATTCCGATCGTGATTTTTTATCTAATAAGCACTTAGAAACAATTTCGCTGCTAATGTGCAGAATCGCCCACTTATTTGTTTGGACGCTTTTTTTACAAGAGTAAGAAGAATTGGATTTTTGTCAATTTTCTTGACTTTTAAGTGAAAATAGGTCGATGTGTACATGGATAAAATCAAGAGTGCGCGCAATGCCATTTTTGTGCAATTCTGGGATTTTTTTAAAGTGAAAATAGGTCGACGTGTACATGGATACCGTGTGTATGCAATTCTTAAAAACGCGGGAAGCAGTTGGCGATTCTGCACTTTCTCCCGATTTCGCACCTATCTTCGTCATGATTAAGCATTTTTGTTCCATAAAAGTTCTAGTATACGAGTAATTCGGCTAGCAGATTTTTGGAAAAAATGTTGAGTAAAAAGAAAAAAACAAAACAAAACAAAACAAAACCATGCCTTTACTTCGTAAAAACAAAATGGCGTCCAAAAAAAAAAAAAAAAAAAAAAAAAACTAGCAGGTTGCTGTAGCAGGGTTGGACGCCAAAGTTTCGCCAAAAAATCGCCATGTTATCATAATCCGAAGATTCACCTAAAATGTTTCATTTCGTACAGTGTTGGCACTGCTCGTTTCGAAATCGTTGAGTTTGTTAATAAAAAAATTCGTTAAAATTTTAGAAAATAAAATAATGAAATCGATAATAAAACAAATTCGAAATTAAAAATTCTGGCTTTAAGTTCCCCATGTTCGGGTGGAGGACTACGTTATTCAAAATTTGGTGACTCTAGGTAGCGTTGCTTCTTGACAACGCGAGAAACATGCATATATTAATGCAGCATCATCATTATTTAATTTTTTTAAACATAATACACAACAATAATAGGCAACAATATGAAAAGTGATTCGAAGATTTAAAGCCGTTTTGAGACTAATATGCCTTTAGGGACTAACTCCCCTTTTGGGCTAATAAGAGATATATGAGGTAAATTTCCATTTATTTTTGCTTGAAAGGAACAATGCTTATCTCAAATTAATTGCATAACTCTTTCCTTGTAGTTTCTAATCAATTGACTAGATTTATTAGATTATGGAAAAACATACTAAGGTATCTGCCTAAGAAGAACACCTTCATAGAAGACCTTCTAAGGAAATCTACCGCGTCTTCACTTTACCGTATGATGAAAATACGGAAAATTTGCATAAAGCAGGTCATCCTCCTGGATTTGAAAGTCAGGTTGAACTACCAGTGTTCAGGGATCGTATCCGCTCGGTTTTTGGTGGGTTAATGTTTTTTTTAAGACGAAAAATGACTGGAGGATTTTTTCTATGGGGAATCTTCAAATATATAAAAGACAGATGAAAAATTCACGCTGAATGCTTTTTTAATATATTTATAGATCTGAGAGTTTATTAAGAACAACAGCAAAAGTTTTATTCTTTACAGCTAAAGAAAATAAAAGACTTAAGGTATCCGACCTCGTACAAAAGACGATTTTCGGTCAAAATTTCGATTTTTACTTTATTACATTATCTTAAAGAATACATCTTTAGCTATCAAATACAAGTTTTTGCTTGTTGATAGGTTAATTAGAACTGAAGTTATAAGCATTTTTCTGTAACTGAATAAACCGGAAGTTCCAATATTCTGGGCCGGAAGTGAGCGTTTAAATAGATATACCTATTTAGAAACTTTATTTATCATCAAGATTTTGTAAATTATAAACCTGCGTACTAAGTTTAGATATTTTGTAATACATTTTAAGAATCTGGTGTTAGTTTTTTTTTTCCCTTAATTTCGTATTTAGTTTGGCGCAGAGGGTATTCGACGTTGAATGTATGTGTTGCTGCTTTGTCGATTAGCGTTGACAAAGTGCTTGATTTGAAAGCTATGTCACATTTTTGCATCATTTGCAACAAAATAAACAGAATGGCATGCAATCTTCAGCACGACATATGTAAAGCGTAATATAATTGTTCTGCAAATTATAAAGAAGCAGCTTCGGGTATATGGAAGCAGTTGGTGCTTATTCCCTGTTTGAATGATCTATTACATTACGAAAGCTGAAGCATACACGGAGTATTACGAGGATGGGGATTCTAAGGGGTTTTTAATTGTGAAAGATATATATGGTAAAGATTCGGTCAAGAAAGTGGAATGCATTGAACATGTACAGAAAAGGGTTGGTAGTGGACTACGAAAAGTAAAAACTCCGCTCCTGAATTGAAAGGAAAAGGTAAACTGACTGATTCTTTTATTGATAAACTGCAGAATTAGGGATTGCAATTAGAAGTCATGTTTGAAACTTAATTGAGATGCAGCAGGTTGTACTAACTGCTTGTTCCATTGTAGCTCTTCTTCGAAGCCAATGCCCTCCTCAATAATCAATGAATTGGTGCAACTATGAATGTGTGATTGCAGAAATCAGGAAAAAAATCAGAAAGAAAAAAATTAGGCAAAAACCTCTGGTATATCAATATATATTTTGAATTTAATTAAACCTACATATATGGAGTTGACTACATAAACAAGAGTTATTAAAAAATGTCTACATGGCAAAACTCAAAATATCAAGGAACGTTTTAATGGCATTTTACAAATTGATTCCGAAAGAAACATTCATAAACTTGCGAATATTAATGTTTGGAGCAAATGCACGTGTTGGGTTATTTAATGATATTGATGGATTTATAGGTTTGCTTGAAGCATTTTCAAGATTAGGTATGTGCCCTGAATTTTACACTGAGCACCGAATTCGAAAACTTGATAAATTGCAAAATCATGATTTTTGATGGCATTCCACAAGTGTTACAAGAACCCAAAGAAAAAATTACGCTTTGTTCGAAAGAAAAGGTGCAAAGTGTGGAAAGAAAAAAACAAGGTGTTAAGTTACAAAGCAGGGGAATTTTAATTATCAGGGATGCTTCTTTCATTAAGAAATTGTTTTATGAAAACTTTAAACTTGTTTTCTGAAAAATGTTTTTTCTGTAAATATTGCCAATGGTAACAGCCATAACTCAAAATTTTATGGATCAAATTTAATGATACTTTCTATACATGTTTCATATAATCTGATGCATGCTCTGAAGCAATCGATTTCAGAAATATCAATTAGAAGTTGAATTCTTACGTTTTATGTTTGGATTTTGGATGAAATAATAGGAAAATATACAGTAAATACCTATACATTTTGACATATCTCAATATATGAATATTTCTTAATTATTTTGCTTCATTGCATACAAAACAAGTGTAAATACAAATACAAATTAAAAAAACCGCATATTTATATATACATTGTTCACCGTGGTTGTTGGCGTAAAGGCAAAATTTAAGCAAAAATTATCCTTTTTTCCCTTATTTTTCAAAATTAAAATTACTTAGCATTACGTTTTAAATTGTTTTCACTAATTAATATGCTTATCTTCAAATTAATATGTTTATAGTTAAAATAAAAACCATTTTTAAAAAAATGGTACCCGAACGAGGTCGGATACCTTAAGCTATCTCTAATTTAATATTCTGAAACAGGTACTGCGATAAAAATTCTCACTGCAGATACACCGTTTCAAAATATGTTGAAGTTACATAAATGTATTATTGTTTAAACTGCAAATGAAATGTCC